CCATCACGTCTCCTCTTTTCATTACCAGGCCAGCCAAACAAAGTAAATGAGTCTGTCTCACTTTGGAATCTTACAAAATAAAGTTTCAATATCCTAATGAAAATTTGTTGATTTATAAGGAGTGATCAAAAAATACAGTGACTATGTTTTTTTAAGTTTTTAAGCTTATTACAATAAAATGCATTATCAAGGGCAATGATAAGTGTTCAACACATGGGAGAGTATTTTGAAGGGGATTAATGGCAATGTGATTTTTACTGTAATAACTTATTTATTTAAACATTCACCATATCATTTGATCTCACACCTTGCACATCACTTATGGCAATTCTATCAAATAAAAACATTATGGTGTGTCCTTATCCACCTCGCTCAGCTGATCTGGCACCATGCAATTTCTGGCTCTTCCTCAAAGTCAAAGTGACCGTGAAAGGTAAATGTGTTGAATGAATTCAGGACATTGAGGTCACCATGACAGCTCAACTCAAAATACTCAAAAGAGGACTTCAGCTGCTTTAGATAGTGGCAAGAATGATGGCATAAGCATGTTTGAAGCAAGTGGGAGTATTCTGAGGGAGATTCATGGCAATGCATCTTCTACTGTCCCCATATTTGTCAATCGCGCTTTGTAGGAAAGTCTTATCCTGTTCCCTCACTTTCTTTAAGCCTGACTCTCTTCTAAAGGTTTATCTTATCTTCAGCTATGGGGACATTTCTTAGCTGCAGCATTGGAAACTATAGCAAAAAACAAATGCAAACAACAGACAGAGAAGGAAAAACCTGTCCTCCTGAAACTTCCCTCAGGGTCCTGTCCCTTGCTTGGAACCCAAGGTGAATTACAACTGAAGTTTGTCCAAGCTTTTTGCTCTTCACATTGAACCTTGGTTATTATAAATAAACAATTTATGAGGTACAACATGTCCACACTCCTCTGCAGTGAGACATCGTTCAAATATAGGATCATAAAAGTGTCAGGGATCCATATGGTGTAATGCACCTTAGGATATAACCTCTTTAGAAGAGAATTTCCTCTGGAATTCTTCACAGAGAGCTCACACGATCAGTTTTTCTTCCCAGAAATTAGAAAGCATTAACCCATAATAAGCAATGAGGAGCATTAACCCATAATAAGCAAAGGCAGAAATCAAAAGTAACTACAGGCCAGTGAAAGAGCATAATGGAGAAGCCAGCTGTGTTCTAATGCTACACCTGAAAAGAAATTATAATTTATAGCAGATCAGAAATGGACAGTGGTGCTTCTCACATTTACGGCTTTTAACCTTCTCTCTTGTTACTCGGTGTTCATTATTGAATTCTCTCTTCAATATTGTGATGCACATATAACTCACAGGTGATCACAAATAGTTGTATTTCTAAACCATTGGGTTTGGGGCTGCTCTTTCCTTGTTTATTAGTGAGCAGGGGCTGTAGGTTGGCCTATCGGTCACCTACCACCAGAGCCATTCAGAGACGGAGGAGGGTAATGATATCACCACTGCAGCACACCCTTCCAGTGCTGGAAATGGTGATAGCAGGTGATCTACATCATGCACAGAAGGAGCCACGCCCAGGGCTCGGAACCAGAACCCTAAGCCCATGGAAGTCCCTCTGCTTGTGGCTTCCTGGCTGCAGTCTGCTCTCCCTGGGAACTGAATACCTTGTACAGTCATGCTGCAAATGTCAAAAGGTTTAAGAAAGGTTTTGACAGATTCATGGCTGCCACCACTGCAAGCAGCTAAGTGATGGTGAAAGGCTGCCTTTCCTTCCCAAAGAGCATCCCTGCATCTCAACACTGGGCTTAGGTCGAGCCCTGGCCTGATTTGCTTGGACATTGCTGGTGTCTGATGTCCTTAATTAAAGTAGTTCTCACACATGTTCCCTGGAGCACAGTCTTATTGTCGTGAAATATAAAAGTAAGATGATATGTAAATGTTAAAGACACTTTTACCAGTGATGTTAGCATTAGAATCATAAAAGGACAGAAAATTTTAACATTATCATTTTAATATCCTCAACTGTACTATGAAGGTTAATTTTCTGTGCCTTTTTCTCATGGGTAAAACATTATTGCTATCATTAGTATGATTTATGTTTATGATTTGATCTATGAAAAAAATTGCCTTTTAGCTGGAGTTCCAAATATACCACATTATGCATCACTTTGCATTTATAATATATTGGTGACAGAGATCAATAAATCCTGTTAAACTGGGTTTGCCATTTTTAATATATAGATTTTAATTAATTAGGAAATCTAATTTCAAAAATGGTATCTTGGGTGCATTGTGAAAACCTATGATAACATTTATATTTCTATTAGGTTTCTTTTAAAACTAGAAAGCTACCATGATACTAGCAAGATCCTACTGAGATGTATCATATATATTTACCATGTACTGTAGAAATTAGATCCAATCCTACAGCTTATAAATTTATTTTGTTGAGTAATTTTAAACTTAGAGCATTTTGATGAGAGATAGAAGGGAGAAAAAAAATGTGAACAGTAGATTCTAAAATCGGCCCTTGCTTGAACATTACTTAGTATGTCAAAGCATTTTGTTGGTGACACAAGTTGACAATGCAACCCAAAGTAATTTCATGAATAAATATGAGACCATCAAGGCCGCAGTAAACAGCATTTAATGGCTGGGTGGCAAGTGCATCCTGGTGAGATTATGATAATATAAAATGTCAGTTTTCAACCTAATGGAAGTGTTTTGGAGGTAGCAGTCCTCCACCCCTGACACAGGCCTGCACTTTTGATGAAAGGATGTTTCCCATTCATGATCCTAGGTGGTCACAGTAAGCATGAAGTTTCTTTAACAATGACAATTCCTGCAGAAAATTAATTGCCCATCACAGTGAACCACAGCTTACCTAGCAGGGATGATCATTATGTCTTTGATGGGTGAAAATAACTCTTAATTAGAAACAAAGTGAGCTCAGTAACAAAGCAATCAAAATTTAGTCATATTTAAATTGTTAAATCAAATGATAACTCACCGTGCTTCATGTGGGACAACTATATTATAAAATTATGTCATCTTAATCCACTCAAAATGGAAAGGGTCTATTGTACTTCATACCCAGTCTCTGCTTTGAAAGCCAAATCTTTTAAGTTCCCCTTTTATAAATCCTCTTAAGGAAGAATCACTTAGATGATTAATGATTGCATATCATAAATGCATATGGTTATTTATAAAACCATATAATAATAGTCTAAAATTTCTTCCAGCCTGAAACTAGTTTTTATATTGAAGTCTAAAGTAAGTGGCAGAGCAAGGGAGGTTACTGCAGGAAAATTTCAGAGTTCTTCTATCTGCAGTGTGAATTTATGCTTTAGAGAGGTTTAGGAGCAATTTTCAGCAAGACAATAAACTTTGTATTAAGTTCATCATAGAGACAAAAATATCCTGACTCCTCTTGGATAGAAGCAGCTCAGCTTATCTTAGCATAGAGCTTTATCTTCCTCGGTATTTCTTGACCAGGAGTTTGCATCCATGAATCATCTGCAGGTCTCATTTTAAACCTGACCGTGTGGTTTGGGAATACCTCTAAGGACGTAATTAGAAAGGAAAAGGAAGAATATCTGAAGATATTATAGAAAAACTTACAGCATTTAACCAAAGGGGATGGGGTATAATATTTATCCATAGTAATTCTAAAATGAAACAAAGACCACTTAGTGCCTACTGTATTTTAATTATAAATAAGCTGGAAATGGATTTTATTGGAGGAGGAGGATGAGACAGGATCTCGCTATGTAGCCCAGGCTGGCCTCAAACCCATGGCAATCCTCCTGCCTCAGCCTCCCAACTGCCGGGATTACAGGTGTGTGCAACCACATCCAGCTCCTCAAATGAATATTTGGATGCAACAAGTCTTTTTGTTCTATTAGTCTTGTTTTGAGCAACAGTGTTACTGTGTAGCTCAGCCTGGCCTCAACCTCACCAGTCTTGAACCGTTCATCCTTCTGCCTCAGCCTTGTTAAAAGAAGTATTGTTTTCTAAAAGGATCTTGAAGAGTTTTGTCTGAGAAAGTACAGAACAACTTAAGTCCCATAGCATCTGGGCCCCAAGTCTTGCCATCGCGCCATGAAGGCCTTGGATGAAGATTCTTTGTGGGCCGGGGCTCTGTTCCTCTGCAGGTTTCTCTGCACGGTTCAGACAGTGAATTTTGAAGGCAAAATAAAAATCAAAGCACAATTTCATATGTCATTTTCTATGTATGCAAATAAAGACATGCTGAAAGCTGGTATTTCAGAAACATGTCATGTAGGATTGGCCCTTCTTTACCCTGATCAGTTTTAACCAGGAGAGCAGCATATCCAAATACCTCCAGTGACTAGGTTTTTCAAGGTCCTGGGATTCTAAATGGGAATATTCCTCCACTTCAAAGGTGTTTATGCTCAAGTGCATAAATTCTTATGTTATTATATGCGGCATGGATGACACCATAGTTCTCATAAGATCTCTGTTGCTAAAGTAAACCAATTTAATTTGAGTATTTATATGTAACTTCAACTATCCAAATAATGAAGAGCATCAAAATATTTGGACTGGTGTACACAGATCAATGCAATCACTGAGTGCTCCTGTTTTCATTTGGGTGTTTCATGACACACCATCACAATGTGATTTTAAAAGACTTATTTTTACTGTATATCTATTTCAAGTTCTGGACTGACTTTACTTTCACATAAGCATTCTTATCATGAGAATCAAAACTAATAATATTTGGAAATGGTGATCTTTTTTCCATGCTGATCTAAAAGAATTGAGATTTTTCCCTTTTAGGTACATGTGAGAGAGGTACATTAACATACATGCTAATACATATAGCAAGGTAAATCTGTCTACCGTGGACTTTAAAGAGGAAAAAAATATTAAAGGAGAGCATAAGATTGGGGTGGGGGAATTATAGTACAATCAAAAAAAGTAAAGATGAATTTTTAATGCCATAAATGAATTTCAATTTTAATTCCCCATTTTCCCATCCAGAACAAGTGCCACCCAGGACCAGTTTTCGAATGGATTCCTCTGGCAAGTATCCTTCAATGCTCATGGTTCTGTGGACAAACAAACGTCTTCCATTCTGTGTGACCATTCTGCGGAGTAGCACCAGTTTTTTAGTACTGACCTTATTCCGCTACATGCACATATATTTACAATACACAGCAAGTGTGACCACGGTGGTCTAAATGCCTACCAATGAGAGATGAAGACAGCCATAATGAGGTAGTCAAAGATAATAAGAAAATTATGAATAAGATAGTCACATTCATGACTGTCCCCATGAAATACTTTAGTAAGAGATTAGATTTAAAACCAGCTGAAAGAAAACCACTGGACTGATTTGATCAGTGTGGCCCAAGACAGTGGCCACTGGCTTGTGAAATGCTAAATGTGACAAGGCTAAACCTAAATCTACTCTGAGCTACATGTAAAATCCCCATGGGATTTCAAAAACTTAGCACAGTGACAGCAGAAATGAACACCATCTCATTATTTTTCCTATTTATTTATGCTAAAATGATATTTTAGATAATCAAGTTAAATGAAATATATTGCTACGATTGACTTCACCTGGTTTTTTGGTTTTTTGTTTTTACTTTTTTTAAAAAAGTGGCTGCTAGATCATTTAAAATTACTTGTGTAACTTATGCTTTATTTATATTGGACAACACTAGACCAGAAAAATAGAAATAAGAAGCTAGGATATCTCAAGAAATGGGCAATTTAGATATTTCCAAAGAAAATATTAGAAAATTGCTAATATAGAACAATATTAATTTCAGATCAATTAAATCCCTCTATAACTTAATTTTTTAAACCATCTCAATTAAAATTGTTGTTTTTCAATAATGTTTAGGTTAAGATAGAATATCATAGCTTTAATCAAAATTAAAAGCTTTTACTAATAGCCAATTAATTTACTTGAATCAATTTTTGACTTATCCATCCCAAAAATGGACTCCAATTTTGGCTTAGGAGGAAATAGCTAATGTTATTGTAGAAGAAAAGGAGAGAAGTAAGGCATGGTGGCCCACCCTCTAAACCTAGCCACTCTGGGAGACTGAGGTAAGAGGATCCCAGTTCGAGTCCAGCCTGGACAATTTACTGATGTAGTTCAGTATGCAGGTCCTGAGCTTGATTCCCAGTGCCATGGCAAGGAAAGAAAGAAACAAGGAAGGAAGGAGGGAAGGGAAGAAGGAAGGAAGGAAGGCAGGAAGGAAGGAAGGAAGGAGATGGATAGATTTAGATCTTTTTCCTTTTTGATTTAAGAGTGAAAATGCTTTGAACAGCTGATTAGACCACAGGATTAAATGGCTGAACACTGAGAAACAATTGCAGGAAAGAGTATTTCTTAATAACAGCACAATTTCGAGTCCATGGGCTCATAGCACACATCTCTAGAGTGTTTCCATGATGACAGCTCATTACCCACCTCAGCATGCTCTAACATCCCCTGGGAATATATGTGCTCCAGATCATTTCATCCTGTAAGCTTCCATGTCATTCTTTGGATATGTAGAAAATATTGAAGATATAGCTTGGCATTTTGTCTTCAACTAATGTCTGAAATATTTCTTTAGCTTGATCTGAAAAAAATTTAAGGCATGATTATTCTTATATTTATATTCTTATATATATTCTGACTATAAAATCCTTATGGTTTTTAAGAATATCTTACTCCCACACAGAAAAATAGGACCTAGTAATTATAGTTGCAAAATGAAATCAAGGTTTAGTTTAGAATTCCAAATCTCAGCTTGCTTGCATCAGTGAGCACATCTCTTGAAAATCTCAGCTTCTGGGTGTACTTTATTTAAAAACAAAAGAAGAACAGGAAGGGTCATACAGCAGCTTAGAATACCTTGGTATATATATATGCAGTGTCATATTTTACATTAAAGTTATAATATAGCTTTACTTTAAAGTTATAATATAACTAAAGTACATTGTACTACTATGCAACTCAGATTTTCAAGGAAAGAATCAATCCAAATATTTTGTTAAATGTCCATACAAATTATCAAAATATTTTAGAAAATCATGACTATATCAATAAACAGGCTACTCATATTATTTCTGATCTAAAATGTTGTTTATCACATATATGTCATGATTTTTTACTCTGACATTTATCATAATGAAAAAGTATATTATTAATTTTATGTACATAAGATCTTTAGGAACAAAGGAAAAAACCGGTAGTAGGAACTCCTAAATAATGTGATTCTGGAGCTAAGAAATAACTCCACAGTGGAAAATGATGCCTTTTATTGGAGCTAGTAGATTGGTGAGTGTTCTTATAAAACTGAATTCAGAAACATTCATTCAGCAACTGGTCCTGGCTGTGCATGATAAGATGCCGTCCTGGACAAAATGGTTTACATCCTCATCCAGGGAATTGTTAGTGAGAAGCAGTGGGATATATGGCCAAGAACCATGGGTGGGAAACTCCACCCAAGACAAAGCCAGGACAGAGTGGTACAGAAACCTCTTCCAAAGAACGCTTTTCCTTGTTTAGTGTTTTAAAAATATCTACAGTCATATAGGTCACATCAACAGTAGCAAATGAGGCTCAGAAATCAGTCAGAATGAAGAAAGAGAAAAAGGTTATTCTATGTGGTCGCTGGGATGTCCTCAGACTCTTTGAAGAGTTAAGTGATGCCAAGAAAGCAGATATCAGGCTGGCAAGGATGAGTGAGAGGTGGAGTGAAAGTGCTGGGAGACGTGGAAGCGGGAGGAGGCACTCTTTAGGGTGGGGAAATCTGCACCCACTTGCAAACTGAGAAGAGAGCCAAATGAAGCCTGGGCGATGGCTACTGTATGGCTGCAATGTGCCCAGCCATGCTCAAACGACCGAAAGATAAAGGAGGAGGGCAAAGAGAAGAGGTTCAAGGCACAGTGTGTCAGCTGCCTGTCTGGTAACGCTGGATTCCAGGGATAGAATCCATGTAAGTTTTCTTTAACTCATTCTGTAGCTGGAGTGCATGGAAACCCAGAAACGTTCCATAACCTGCTTCAACTCCGATTTTTCCTTGGGCTGTCTTCCCTAGATTGCTTTACCAAAAAAAAAAAAAAAAAAGCCAAAATAATAATGCTCCTTCCAATAGGAAAAATTGAATAAATGCAGCCTTTGTGCCAAACTGTGATAATAAGCCATGGTACTTATGTTTTAATTAAAACATGAAAGGGGCTTCAAGTACCAAGCTTAATTGACATGTTTACAGCAGCATCCCATGTGCCAAATTAATTCATAAAAACGTAGTTCTTTGCATTTTTGAGGATTGAATCCATTCATAAAATTAATCATTCGTGTTGAGTCATCCAGCCTTCTCCCTAACACAGCACATAACGCCGTGCTTTCCAAAAGCAAAATCAAGATGCATACAGTATGCAGAGTCCCCTGGAGACGTAATATGAAATAGGAATCTGCTTTTGAAATCCTGCTTTTGTTTTGAGGGAGGATGTCCCGATACCTGGATGTGGTCACCATGTGCCAATTTGAATGTTCACTTTTGCATTATTGGGGTGAGCCCGGTATAAATTGGGACATGTAAATTTTACTCCAGTAGCTTGCCCCAGGGGCCACAGAAAATCACATCTGGGAAGGGGATAATGAGAGACTTTCTTTCATAATGCCCGAGCATCCTGGGACCCAGCTACTAAGGAAGAAGCAACACTGGCCATGGGTGGCTACTGGACACCAATGTCCAAAGACTCCTCTCTCCTCTGGGTCCATTTCTTCACACCCACTGCCTTCTCTTGAGCTGCACTGGGCAGCAGTGGGGGTGTCCTGACAGCTCTGCAAAAGGGGGCAAAGGAAAAAGAAGGCACTGAAAAAGCACAAAAAGAAAACAAGCCGAAGAGGTGAGGACATCAGAGGGACACGGCTGAGTGACATCCAAAGGGACCCAGGTGTGGCCAGGCTGCCCCCCATGGGCAGCCTCCGGCGTACAGTTTAATCATAAACAAGAGACAGGGCAGTGGTTGTTAACTTCTGTCACACAGGAGTGGAAAGTTGACCTGAGATTTCTTCCTTCCATTACCATGGGAAGAGTGAACAACAGCGTGGCAGTTGAGCGTGTCGGCAGCAAGAAGAGCAACTCCAGAGGAGCGTCAGAAACTTCAGCCCCTTCAAGAGAGAAGAAGAGCATTGTGCATATAATTTTAGTTATTTTGTGAAGCCATTCTCAGAGGGGAAGAAGAAACCAAAGAAAAATGATCTTCCTAAAAAATTCTTACCCCCCAAAGAAAACAACTATCTTAAGGCACCATCTATCTTAAACTTTTTTCCACTTGACAATTTCTCTAAAGTTTTCATGCTCTTCATCCTCTGAGTCTGCGTTCAAAAAATTAACAAAGAAGTGAAAAACAAATGGCATCTGCTGGTGCACTTGTCTAATGAATCTGTCCTTGTCTCTCTCTACTTCCTCGAGTACCGTGAAGTTGCCCATCCCTGCCTTGAAGAAGAGAAGGGTAGAAATAAACTGGTTGGCACATACCACCCAGTATTTCAGATTAGCGTGGATCAGAGCAACAGTCAAAGGGATGGTAAATAGGACGAAAAGGCACATAAAGAGGAGGGGGAGGAGGATAAATGCTTGTTCACTCTTCAGTTCTTCAAAGTTAAATAAATTAGCTAAAAATCTTGATTTTTCTCCTTTAAAAAGTCATAAATCATTCAGTAAGGAAAAGCTTTCCATTCCCCTAGAAATATGGAATTCCCAGACAAAGCCAAACCTTTTATACCTTCACGCATCTCAGAATCCCATTACTGGGGATGTCATAATTTCAGCATTCCCTGAGGGGAAAATCTATTTAGTAATCAGGATGGAACCTGCAATAAACTCTGCAAGAGTTCTTTGTGCAATGTGAATGGGCGTAGAAATCCTTGGAGGAGCGATTCCCCTCTGACTGTACTCACCAGTGATCCAAAAGTGAGAAGAATGGCAGGATAGGTGGAAAGATGTGCTCAAACATATGCTGGCTCTGTTATTTTAAGTGTCAAAAATATGTCACCTCCTTATTTGTGCCTTCTGTGTATTTATGATCTGGGGACCTCCAAGCTACAGGTAACCTAGACAAGAGATTGCAGTGGTCAGTTGTACCATAGCCACCTTTTAGAATTTGAGCAAGGATTGATATGGCCTTTCGCCTTCTGCTTCCTTCGCCTTTCTTCCTCCTGAGGGAGGAGCATGGGGCCCTCCTGGGATGTTACAGGGCTGCTCCACCTGCCTGCAGAGTCTGGGAGACATCGCACTCTCTACTATGTGATGTCATATATGAGACTACAGACTGCACAGTTAATTGGCGGCAAAAGTGTTTGTGTCTCGTAGACACCAGACGAAGTTTTTGTCTTTCCTTTATCACCCAAGTCTATTTAATAGGAACAGAATTCTTTTAAGTTCTCCCAACTTTAAAATATGCATGAGTATACGATTTATAAAGGATAACTAAAAGGATGTGGAGGTCTAATTGGTTTTTCTTCTTTGAGGTTTTCATATTCTTCATTAAATGGGAAAGACCCTGGTAATATATGCATTTGGTCATAGAAGGTCATAAAAACCGTATCTGGTTATATGTGAATGGTCGCACAGTATGGGCATATTTAGGACTTATGGACCTGAGTCACCTTTTTTTTAGAGTGTGCCACTCAAATAATTGACATTTACTCACAAATTAGAAGTGAATAATCTGTCTTTCAGAGATCACTAGGAATAGCACGGTTTGTTGGGCACCAAGACAAGCCCCTATCATTGTGTTTTTCATTTTTTGTTGGTTGGTTGTTGGTTGATTTCTGTGATACTGGGAATTGAACCCAGGGCCTTCACCCTGAGCTGCATCCCTGGCCCTTTTTATTTTTTTTGTTTTGAGACAGAGTCTTGCTAAGTTGCCAAATTGTCCAGGCTGGACTTGAACTTGCATTCCTCCTGCCTCAGCCTTCCAGAGCACTGGTTTACTGAAGTTCACCACCAGAGCCGGCTGTCGTTGTGTTTTGCACCCTGTATCATTTGAGCAGCCCTGCTTATAGCAGAGCCTAGAGAAGATGCACCCAGCCAGCTTGCAATGAGTCTCTCTCTGCTATGGCTCCTATTATATATTCAAGTGGCTTAGTCTTTTTGAGATTTCGTCCCGTGAGGATTATTCTCTGAAATCCCATCCTCATTTCCAAAACTCTCCTGTTTAAGCTAGGGAAATTTTATTTACTACTTGTTTCTATCACTTCTAATTCCTTCTTCAAATTAGTGAGGCCCAGAATCACTAAATACCTCTTAAGCAAAGGCTGGCTTAATGAATATTCCTCCCAATTGTCAGTGCTGATCTTTCACAATGTCCTAAGGGTGAACACAGAAGTAGACAGGCAGCTATCCCCTGAGGAAGGGGCGAAGGTTCAGGTGTAGGGGAAGCATGTTCTACTGAAAAAGTTCAAAGATTTCTTGTAATTGTAATTTATTCTAGGGATGAAAATATGTCATTCAGGGATTTTCCAGCTCATTGTTAGATGTATTTCTAGTCTTACATTGAGTTCAGAGGGATAGGCAACCCTCCTGACTTTGAGTACACTCATGAAGTCAGTGGTCTATTAACAGCTTCCACATTCTGAATTGTTTGGGGATAAGATTTTATTTTGCACCAGATGAATTTCTACCAGTAAGTTACAAAAAAACCTAAAAGAATTAGTCAGAAAAATAAGCAGTTCACTTATACCTAGATAGAGAAAAGCCTAAGCTCTGTATTTTCTAAGTTTTATAATTTTAAAACTCTCATTAGGTATAGATTTATACCCTGCGCGCGCGCGCGCGCACACACACACACACACACACACACACACACACACACACACACACACCCTAAGCTGGATGTATCAAATTATAGACAGCTCCTAGTAAATTACCAGGTAATTCAGGTTTGACCATCTGTTCTCTCTCATGTCCCAAGCAATGAGGGTAAACATCCCCAAAGTCACAGCCAAACTTCCTGAGAGCCGTCCAGATGCTCTCAAGAAAATTAAAAATTGTAGAAGTATCCATGTTTTCACTCAGAAAGTGCATGCGCCTTACCTATGGGGCACCCTCGCAATGACCTTGGGGGGGGGTCACAGTTATTCCAGGGACCACCTAATTTCACAACAGTACTTCTTAGCTGCACTAGTTTTGCATCCTCTATGCTCTCCATCCACCCTAATGGCATTCCCATCCATCACACCCACAGAATTAACTCACCATCGGTGTGTACGGCTCCTGGGGGGTGGGAGGAGGAGGATTCGTGACTCAGTGGGATCTTCTCTACACCAGGTCCAGACTATAAGGAACTGGATGTTCACCTTCGGAGGATGGAGTCTGGATTTGGCTTCAGAATCCTCGGAGGAGATGAGCCTGGACAGCCAGTAAGTTGACTCTCTTTATTTCCACGCTTTTGGCCCTATTGTGTGTGCAAACACAAGGGAAGATACCATTCAGTAAGACAACCTTTGGAAGTGTTTTAGGACTCAAGTGAAAAAGAATGAGTCTTTCTTTCCTTGCTCTTCTCTTTAAAAAGATCTCGCAACAGCAAGTTTCTGTGTAGCCAAATCATATCACAAATCACAAAGAGAGATAGTACTCTTCCTTAGAATGGATGAATTCCTCTGGAGGGTTTCACTTATCCAGTGGGATTGGAACCTCAGTCCTCCTGAATGGCAGGTCATGAGTGACTAAAGAGTCGTGTGCAGAGGAAACTTGAAAAGTCAGAATTAAATATGCCTGCAGCCAGGGAGACTAAAAGAGGGATGAGGAGAAGTACAGTTAAGTTCAGTGCTGCAAATATCTCAACCAGATTTGAATTAAGGGATTATCGTGAGAAGATGTTCATGAAGGCAACCAACTGGTACAATATTGGAAATTCAGGAAGGGGTAGGGAGAAATGTTTATATTGATATACACATAAAATAAGTCATCATTAATACACAGAAGATTGTTTCTATCACTGTGTATGAAAGTCTCAGCTATAAAGCACTCATTGTGAAAGATGTAGCTTAAATGTTACTCAGTGCAGTCAAATCAAATCCATGAAAGTCCTGAAAATCTAAAACCCTAAGCTATGCAGGCAGATGCCAGCACCCCACCCCTAGCACCTGCTCCCCATCCAAAGCACACCAGGAACTTGGACTCTGAGCCTCAGCTTCCTGTTCTGCAAGACAGCACCAGCAGCAGTTCCCATACAATGGCTTTTGGAGTAAAGAAGTCAGGACATGTTAAAGCTCTCAGTATTGTGTTACCATCACATTAAGTGTTGAATACATGTGATCACATGTTTATTATCTTCACTTTTGTTTCTCATATTAATATATTATTCCCCAAAATAAAAATAAAACTGATGGGCAGAAATCTGCAAGAAAAAGTGTCAATCAAACAAATGAATAGATCCTGGGACGATGAAAACTGCCCCAAAAGTGAAGTAGGGAGGTGGAGGGTGAGCACTTTCACTGGAGAGTCATTTAAGCAGAGTCACTGAGCACATGGGAGGGACCCAGAGAGGTCTCCTCTGCCCAAAGAGAAGCTGGGCTGAGTGCCTGATGAGGTCTCTTCCTACAGAAAACCTGGGGAAGCTGAGTTTGAGCTCCAAGCATGAGGCCACTCTGGGAAAAAGGACTTGTCTCCTGTTTCCTGGGGACTGTGGCCTTTTGGAAATAGTTAACCAGTGTGTCACTAATTTCCCAGCTGTCAGAGCAGATGTAAGAGTGCATTTCCAAGCACTGGCCAGATTTTCTTTAGTGTTTTGAAGTGAGAGAGAATGGTGAGATAAAAATACAGCGCTCAAGTAACTTCAGACTTACACGTACTCAGGGACCAAGCTCAGGACCGCATGTCTTGGTTTCCCTTTTCCTCTCTTCAGAGTTTCCTTCCTCTCTTCCTGGGACCCCGATGTGAGTTTCCCCGGCACTTTCAGTCACTTGGTCAGCACTCTGGCCTCATTCCTTGCTATAGCTCATCTTGTTTTAGATCTGGAGAGCCACAAATATCAGACATTTAACACCTCAATTTATGCTCCCAAATTCCCTGGCCTCCAGGGAATATTTACTGACTTGGCTTCCTCCGGGATTGTTCTCTGACATGTTCAGACATCTGCCTATTTTGTTTGATCAGCAGGATTTTAAATTCCTTTGAAGCAGAGACTTCATCTTTCCCCTTTATTTATTACCACATGAATGTCAAATGTGCCATTGTCCAGAGCTGGCCACACCAAAGGTCCTCCTCTGCTCCTCCCGTCTGCCCTGTCTTCCCAGAACTCCTGACATCAGTGAGTTTTAAACCACAAAGTCCAAGGGAAGAGTCTTCACAAAGCACCTCCACTTTAGGCAGAGCCGTAGATTTGGGGGTCCCTTTTGCGAACCAGGTTCACTGTGTACTGTTTACCAACTTGTCTGAGTCTGGTGAGACAGAACATCTACACACATAGCAGGTTACATGGAGTGGGCTTATGGTTTGCAAGGAACAACAGGAGCCTAGGGTTCCTTGTGAGTTGGTCCCCTGGGCTCAAGAGAGCTGCCCATGACAGATGGAGTCTCAGCTGTTCAGGCCCCACTTGCTTCATAGCAGAGGAACCCTCAAAAGCAGCCCAGTGTGGGTTTTATACCCAGGAGTAATGTGGCTCACTGGGCTAAAGTGCTGAAGGACATCCGCACTCTAACAGAGCCTGGAACACAGCACAAGGTATTTCAGCTGGCTCCTCCTCATCTTAGGACGTTACATTCTCAGCATATTCTATGGTTATTCTTGAAAACTACAAGCAAGGAGGAGAGAGGGGTCACTCTCAGGCCACTGGAGAACTGTCCTGTCCCCACTGCCTTCCTCAAGTTTGATCCTTCACTGAAACGACTCAGACTCAGGAGAGTATTTCACTATAGGTTTACTATAATGAAAGGATACAAATCAGAAACAGCCAAAAGAAGAGATGTGTGGGACGAAGCCTGGAAAGTTTCCAGTGTGACTTTTCGTCATCCTCAGGGACAGGTGACCCTCCAAAATTGACATGTCATGCAATCCCAACGAGGACTGCTCCTCCAAAGTGTAGTGTGCAGAGCTTCTACCAGGGCTTCCTTACATGGACGTGGTTGATTGAATCACTGCTACTGATCTCTGTTTGTAGTCCCTGGTCCTTTCCAGAGGTCAGGCTGACACCATATGACTCAAAGGCCCAACTCTTTCATTACGTGGTTTGTGTTCCTGGTATGGTCAGTCCTCCCCTGAAGACTCTTGATGTGGCTGGCCCGCCCTGAGTCATCTTCTGCTGCTAAACTATCAGGTATGGACCAAGAAGCTCGTCACACAAAAGAAGACTCTCCTATTCCAAGAGCTTGGAGATTCTCTCTCAGGAACCAGGGACAATCACCAGACCTTTCTTTGAACTGAGGCCAAATTCTTTATTGCAAAACCAGAAGCTTAAAAGATTCCAAAGGATTGAAACAAAATAAAACCATGCTCAAAATAAAATACCTGTGTACAGTAATGTCATACCATTTGTGTGATATGGACATATGAAGACAAATTCAGATCAAATCTCTTGCAAGTAAACCAGCATAATTCCTCAAACTTAACAACTGAAGGAGTTTTTGCCAGAAAGACAAGTCTTTGTACCAGAATACACTAACTGACATTATATCAACCTCTTCAGGGTGAGAACTGTGGTTTACTGATGTTTATGTCTTCCAGGACTAGCCCAGAGCCTGGTACAACATATACCTGTATCATATATATGATATGTTGAATGGAATTGAAGAGAGAGACAAAACTGCCACTGGCTTTCTCAGAACAAATAATGATCTGAAGCTTATATTTCTTATTGGCCTCTAAATGTAGGTCCTGTAGAATTTTCCTGGCCTAGAAGCAGAGCTGGTGTGCTGGCAACCCTGTGTCATGCATTGTTAGCAACCACAGTGTTTTAAAATTGTTGATACTAACTCATTCATATATTAAACATTTTGATCTTCTCATGAAAACAATGGATCTAGTATTATTGAGCTTGTCTTGACCTGTGACAACCAGCTGGAGGCCAAGCAGTGGCCCCTTTCAGGCTAAGTGTGGGCACAGTTCCCAAACGCCCAGTGCCTGCCACCTCCTTAAGGCACCATCTTTGAAACTCCCATCCCGGAAGTCTGGATTGCAAGAAATTGGAAATCTGAATATTTTATACCACCGAAGCCAGCAATAGGGTCAGGCCATGATCTTCATTGACTCTTATCACTGAACATATTATCAGGTATTATATGTAAATACAAATAAGACATTAAGCTATGAAGCAACAGTTCCAGTTCTTCCCTCATTGCTCACTTTAGTACAGTCTTTGAAATATGAATTCTTACTTTGCCGGGCCCTGAGGCTCATGCTTTATCTGTTTGGGGGTTAAACCCGTACCCAGCTCAGTAAATGTTACCTACCCTTGCCCCTGCCCACCCCCTGAAGGGAAAGACCCATGGGACCCAGTCACGGGGAAGGCAGGCATAGGCTTGGACCTCAGGGTGGGAGAGGGGCTGCCAGACTGTGCCTGGCACAGGAGCGGTGGGGTTGTGCCCAAGTGGAACATGCACTGCCCCAACTGAGGTTCAGCCTGGGCACACACCATGGTCTCCACGCAGCCTCAGGACAACATCCTGCCCAGCTTATACCCAGTTCCCAAATGCCCAGGCCCTCTGAACCCTGAGTCCTTTCTCCGCGCATCACATTTTTATGATAAGCCTCCTCACATTACATGGATTGCTGGTTATCCTTATTTTGTGTTTAGATTTATTCCTGTGTATTCCTTCTTGGAATGATTTAAGACCCATTCCTGTGGCAAGTTATAATTTCAACACTTCAGCATAAAGTGGAAGCCTGATCTCCTTGATGCCAGCAAAGTCCAAACAAAGCCCTGGAAACCAGAATAACCTCGTCAGACCGAGTGAGTTCACTGTAAAGACCTCCCAGCGGCCTTTCCTTCCTGCTTTGCTGCACCCCACACCCAGAGACAGCGTACGAAGCCACTGCCCTGGCCTCTTTTAATTGCTGGTGTGCTACAGGAAGAGGCGAAGAGGTGCCTCAGTCCCCAGGCATGGAAGGTCTCATGGGTTACCTCAAACGGGCCTCTGCTCCTTGTATGTGAGATGGTACCAGTATCCCATGGTGCACACAAGACATGACAACAGGGCTTTGGGCAAACAGTGAACCGCAGGACCCTGGATCACACAAAGCAGATGGGCATTTTTCCTACAAAAGGAAATACTTTTCACAGTTAAATAACAATAGGGATAAGAAGAAATGAAAAATTGTCAGAAAGAAACAAAAATGAGATTTCCAGCTGTGAGCTAAAAAAGAGATGAAAAAGCATCAAGATGGATGGAAAGATGTGGAAGACGCTGCAGTGGAGAAGGCATGGGTCAAGAAAAACCACTCAGGGGCCAGGGATTTAGCTCAGTGGCACTGCCCTGCCTCCCTCGAAAGCACAAGGTCCTGAGTTCGATCCCCGGTACCAGGTGGGGTGGGGGAGAAAAGAAAAGGAAAACCACTTGAAGAGGAGATGACGGCCAGTTACTACTTCTCAACACAGGGCCAGGGCAGATCACAGAGGAGTTTCAGAAGGAAGGAGCCTGACGCGTCAGGCACAGTGGCAACAGGTCCCAGGCTACAAGTCTTTAGAGCAGATCTCCTGGTGTTGGACTCACATCAAGTAGGAGGGGCAGGGAAGGATTAAAAGGCCTAAGAGGTGGGTTGGGTTTTGTTTCTTTCCTGGCTTTGTTTTCTCTGTAACATTCTTTTTTTCCTCTGGTTTACTGGTATCAGCCACTATCATGTGACTTGCTGGTATTAAGCTGTTCCTTCAGGGCCAAAGCGAGGCAGACAGAATGGAAAGGCCTTCCCTGGGGTTGAAGAAGAGGCCAGGAGTCCAGGGAGGCCAAAGCGGAGGACCGGCCGAGAGCGTGCTGGCTGGGCAGGCTCCCCGACAAGGGCGGCCAGGGGCAGCAAGACCAGCAGGAAGCAGGGCCTCAGGGCTGAGGGAACCCAGACCAAACCCTTGCCGCAGGCCTGGGAAGTGGCCGTGTGAGGGGCAGGAGCTTGGGCCATGTACCTGAGGAAAGGCTCTAAGGGACTCGGGACCTGACCAGTCAGGCCAGAGAAGGTCCTCAGAGCCACGGTGCTCAGAGTGTGACTGAGCCAGGACCAGCACCCTCCAGGCCCTCCAGGAGCTCGTGAGTCCCGCAGGACCAGGCGTCAGGATCAGGCCCCAGGAGGGGGTCCAAAGCTGATTCCACAGGCTCGCCGCCCCATTCCTCCACAGCCTGCGGCTTGAGAGCTCCTGGCTACAAGGGTCAGATATGGGAACTACAGTCTCATGAGCTTTAGCAAACATGATAATGTATCCTTAGGGAAGCCAGAAAGAGTTACAGTGCAAGAAAGACTCATAGATTATCCAGGCCCTGCAGTTAAGGTGGCAAATGGGAAGTAATAGAATGTGTCAAGTGTACAAATCATATCTGAAGTAAAGAAAAAAAGTTGTGTTTTTTCCAGCGCAGAGAGTCACATAGAGCTATCCCTGTGTCAGCGGTGAAATATTGTACAATGCACAAAGGCTGAGGAGCAGCAGCAGCAGCAGCAGCAGAGCTGGAGTGGTACAGGGAGGGGTCAGCTCTCTCCAGCGATGGCAGTTACCCGACGGATAGAGAAACACAGCAAATGCCATGCAGCTGAAGCACACGTACCCCGCTGCCTGCTGCCCATGGTGCCCGGTGCCCAGGGCCCAACTCGGCTCAAGGGGGCTTCCTAGCTAGCTATGGGAACCTCATGTGGGATAAGGCAGAGAACATTGCGTAGTGTAATTGTGTGGTGCTACACACGTGGTACTGTGTCCTAAATAACACCAAATAATACACTGTGCAGTGTGTAATTTATATGATAAATACCATAGGTCAATTATATAATATCATATAACAGTATATATTTATAAATTATATGTGATTATATAATACACTACATACTAATACTGTAACACAATATAATGCCATAACATACTAATATACTATACTATATGTTATATGTAATATAATACTACAAACTAAATAATACTATATGATAATTTATAATGAAGTGTTGGATTTACTCTTTAGATAATTGAAGTATCAGTTGAATATACTGTTAGGCATAAGTCTGTAGGATTTGATGGAGCAAATTATGAGAAGATTTAAGGGTTAAAGCTTAAAGTTTTTTGGTAATCTGCCTCCAGTGAGCTTCAGTTTTTGCACAAAGGTCAGCTTCTCAGTGTTGCCTGCTCTAACCAACTCTAGCATTGCCTCGGCCACCGTACTGACGCCTTCTTCACCTTGCTGTAGTTTTTCCATTTTACGTGTCTTCTAGCAGACTATATAATTTACACATATATCACATTTGTCATTATCTAAGCACTGAGATGGAAACTCCACAAGGTAGGGATTTTTGTTTACTGATTATTGATTATTGATGCCCTAGCACTTGAAAGTACCCTGGGCTCAATGAATATTTGTTGAATATGTGAATTAAGGAGAGTTACTCATATCACACCAGCATCACAGGAAAGCAAGTGTTTTACTGCGATCTCCCTTTCAATGAATGACATGAAACTGCTAGCACAGAATGTAACCAAGAGTTATGTATATGTTGCTGTTTCCCTATAGCAGGAGGGAAACGGGAATTTTGCAATGTGAAACATCATCTCTCCTATTTTTTGTACAGAGCCCAATTGCAGCTATGGTTCAGTCATAACCCCTATTTTTTATCTTACTTTTGTTGGTTAGAATCGGAATTATACCTTAAAATTAAAAATTTATTAGTCAAACATTGAAAAACCATAACTAACTATAAATCCTCCCACTTAAGTGTGCAAGAGATCTAAAGGTTGAAGAGTTTTCTTTGGGCTCACTCAGCAAAATGCAGCTTTGCCTGGGGCAGTGGGGAGACGTAAACATGCATTTTAACTGGCTTTTGCACAAAGCATTTTAACGCTCCATCATGGGTTGAGCCTTTTGAAGACTGGATTGGAACATCTTTAGAAAGAAATTCATCGATTCAGGTTGGCATGACAATAAGAGAAAATGGAAACTGTCCAAAGCATGCCCAGCTTCTAGACTACAGCAAATGGCTACAGCGGGTCACAGGGAGAGAGGCATACTGTGCCACCCATCTAAAGCAGGAGGGGTGAGCCTTTCCTTTGATAGCAATAATGAATCACTCATCAGAACACTAATATTCAATGGGGCAGCAATTCTATTCCCCACGCCTCGGGAACAGGAAGAAAGCAGCAGCAGGATAGGAAATTTTTATTTTTTTAAAACAAGAAGTTATGTGATGGACCAAGGCTGGAACGTCCTCAGATTGTGACTTCGCCTAAACAGTAGCTGAAAAGTCCTGGGCCTCCAGATCTGGTGCCACGGTGACAGCTCATGGTGAGCAAAGTGACCAAGAACAAAGGGGTCAGCCTGCTCCCAAGCCTGAGGATGCAGCCTGCAGGTCAGGATGGAGCCATTCTGCAGCCAGCTGGAATCTAGCTGGAACCCAGAGACCTGGGACTCGAGGGAAATTATTGTCTGAAGGAAATTAATTCATGAGCCAAGGATTGCTTCGTAAGGATGTAAATCCTAGAGTAAGGGCTCTGAGGTATTCCCAGGCTGGTAGTAACCACTACCTTCAGAGGCTGTGTGGCTCAGCCACTGGCACAGAAAAAGCAGCCTGTTGTCCATCAGTTGGGAAAATTATTTGTAGGTTAAACTTATTTCTCCGGGAGTCGGCAGCCTGAGAGTGCGGGAAAGGCATCCCTCGAGCCTCTTGTTCTTCATGTCCGTGTACAAGCTCGAGTATATATGCCATGTGATATCCTTTCCTTCTCTCTGCTTCTCTAGATTTTGATCGGAGCCGTCATTGCCATGGGCTCAGCCGACCGAGACGGACGCCTGCACCCGGGAGATGAGCTCGTCTACGTGGACGGGATCCCAGTGGCCGGCAAGACCCACCGTTACGTCATCGACCTCATGCACCACGCAGCCCGCAATGGGCAGGTGAACCTCACTGTGAGAAGAAAGGTGCTATGCGCAGGTTCGTACCGGCAGCCGCGTCGGGAGTCTGGGCTCGGGGGGAGATGCTTCGGTGAGGCTCGGTGAGCCCCCGAACGAGTTCCTGTGTCACTCGTAAGTGATTCTGAAAGTGGATGGCCACCCCACAGTACACAGATCCAAGCGGTGTTTGAGGCCAGCCAAGCCTGGGCTAATTTAATACGGGTATGCGCTTCCTCTTTGGTGGATGGAGTTATAAGGGGAAGATTGTAAGAAAGGAAAAAACACCTTTTGAAAATGTTTCTCATTGTGTTTACAAACAAGAAACGATGGTATTTTGGTACCGTAATAAGGAAACCAGAATGGAAAATTAGCTTTCATTGTAAAGCATGAGGAAAGGTAACAATAAACTGTTACCCCGTGTAGAAAAATACATTGCTCGCTCTGAGAAAACATAATTCATATAGCTCCAAACTTACGGAACAGATGAATTGGGGATAATTATTCCCTTTACAACCATTTCCTTGGCTTCATAAAAGAATCCACCAAAGAGATACTTTTATAAGTCAGCCCACATGTTCATAATATGATCTAATTTTCTTCTCTTCACATCTCAACCCCCCCCAAAAAGATTTATGTTTTTAAGCAACATGCCTGTTACAAGCCCCACGCTGTTTTTGTAATCTGAACACTGAATGACTTGGGGATCAAAGCCCTGCCCTGAGCTACCCATGCTGTGTCCTGTGAACCACACAAGCAGCCTCTCCAACCGTGATCCACAGCCACCTTCGGCCCCGTCACCTCCTGGCCTCTCTGCTCAGCCCCTTGACCATACCTCCTGCTGACCCATCAGTTCTAAGTCTAGGAGACACCTAAACGACCGGAGCTCCTCGTTACAGGTTAGGACACTGAGGCTGGAGGCCCAGCAGCTTGCCCGGGAGTCCACATAGAGTCCTCGTTTCTTCAGCCACTTTTCATCTTCCTTCCCACCTGTAGACACTGTCCCCCCCCCGCCCCCGCCCCAGCGAATTCAGAGACCCAAAGACCAACCTTTCGTGAATGTCAGTCCCAACACCAGGACCGCCTGCTCATCACAGGCTGTGAACGACTAGATTTGTTCGCTGAACTAAAAATCCTTTTCTAGAAAGGGTTTGAGGAACCAGATCTGAGCAAGGGCAATCACTTAAAAGGCAAGTCAGAAGAACTGTCAGCCCTCACCAGTAGAGACTGCTGTATATCTTGTGTAGAATAGAGGTCTTGCTCAGAGGTGCCGTTCATCTTCTGGAATCCATGGCAGACACCCGACCCAAGGAAGTAAAACACAGTGAATTATGCCGTATCCTTGGGCGAGACGCCAGGAAGGAGACAGCCCTTGCTTGGTTAACATTTAACTCTCTCTCCCTGCAGAGTGATTTTTAATAAAAAGTTTCCTGTGCTATATGTAGCCTAAGATAAAGTAAAAAGGTACCTGATTTACGAGGAAATGTACTGCAAAGTACAAACCAGTGCACCAGCATAATTCCATGCCCCCTTGCCACCAACTGATTACTGCAAATTAAATTTTGTTCTAATCAACACAAGCTGTTGGTGGGCACACCAGTGCTGCACGAAGGTATTCTTGCAGTCTGTGGGTCATGTGACTTCCATGAACCTGCTCCTTCCTGCACTTATTACCAACTTTACTCTGTTCGGCTGTTGAGTGCATTTCAAGTGCATTTAATTTTTGAAAAGGTTCTGCTGTAAACTGCTCCTTCACACCAGGAGAGTCTCCAAGATAATTCGGCCCACTCTTCCTTGAAAGTTTCATCAGTACTGAAAATGATTAAGTTCAGCCAAGGATACTTTGAGAGCAAAGTAAAGACCTAAAAACAGAGTACAAGCGATTTCCAAGGATACGGAGATGACCTGTTTCATAGCTGCTGTTTCCTCAAAGTGAGAAAAGACCCCTACAAATGGATGTGACCCAGAGAAGCCTCTGCAAGGAGCAGCACTGTTGTTGTTGCTGTGTTTTCCTGAGCAAGGGAGTGGGAGATGCAAGCCTACCATAGGATGCGAGGGCTCAAAGCTGAAGAGAGCAATCAGCTTGGGCGCGAATAGGAGTAGAGAGCAGCATGGTGCAGAAAGGGCCAGGGGAAGGGACGCTACAGGGATGAGGCCTTTCCATCTGACCCTCACCTGCCTCCTACAAATGCTTCCTCACCTCCAAGGGAAGAGGGCACTGGCTGCCTACCTGATGCTTCTAAAAGAGACCACATCCATTATCAGAGATACAGACCATGTAGTAACATTGGGCAGAAATTAAAGTAACATATAAGGCTGCTCCAAATATTAAGTTATAAAAATGTATGTGGCAAAAATTTTAATTAGGCCATGGCAAGCTAGATCTTCAAAGGAGAGAGACTGTTGGGCGAGGAAACCAATTATCCAGTAGCGCCTCCGGTTTTACTCACTACGAACTCTTGGGCAGATCTTGCTCTTGAATGCCTTTCAAGAGAAGACATCTCAGTGATGCCACAGCTGCAGTACTCAGTTGGCATTTTCCCCCGAAGGATAGTAGAAGAGTAGCTGTAATTATTATACCAAAAGTATAAATATTTATATATTTGGTAGCTCAGCTTTGAGATGTTCACCCTACTGACGCGTCATCTTGAATGTGCGCCATTCGTTTGAGAGGAGAGGGTCTCTCAGGAATACCTGGTGTAAGTCTGAAATTGATGTGAAAGTTTTATGACTCAATCAAAATATCTTAGCGTCAGTCCTAAAGCCCAGCGTCTTTCTCTAACACCTGGGGAAAGTCTCGCTCTCACCAAAGTGCTGAGGAAGGGGAGGCTTTCTTGGCAGCTGGGTGCCAGTGCGTTGCTTCATCTGTTCTGAATGCATCCCTTGTGCTCTGTCTCTGAATGTGTCACCCATTTCACCACAGTGCCTTGGGGACTATAAACTGGAAGCGCCACCCAGATCCTTGCAGGGCCATATGCTGGGCTGCCCATGCACCACAAGGTACTGTGAGGGCCCAGTGTGCACGCCCGTATGTCACGCTCCATGCACACTCCTGCCCCATTGCCTTGGCCATGCATCAAGGCATGATGTCCCCATCACCGGGGCTGACACCCTGAGCGGGGACAATCCTGAGAAGAGGCTCAAGCTGGGTCTGAAGCAGACAAGGTCTCCTTGGTTACAGAATCCTGGAGCTGTGGTACCCAGTGTGTGGTCTAGAAGGGAAGGAAGGCTCTGGTTAAATAATCCCTTTAGCCCTATGGTTCCTCTTGCCATGGGTAAATGAGTGAATGGACAAGCAAATCTGGTGTTTGTAAGAGACACAGGGGTGACAAGAACCGTGGTGACCTGGAAGCCACATACCCAGGGAAGGGAGCAGCCATTACTCAGCTCCAGATGATTATTGCCACATATCTCAAGAGAAACTGAAAATCCCTATTTCTGTCAAATCTTTCTACTTACAAACATTGGCAGTTAGTTTTAACAGTTAGTAAGGAAAGCACAGGCCAGCCCTGTACAAACCAGAAGCAAGCCCTGAGCAGGAGAGCACATTCTGGTCTAAGCATCTCACCTGGCGGGCCTTGCTGACAACTCCAACCCTCCCAAGGGGGACCCTGCCCAGTCGGCAAAGCAGTGATTTCCAGGATCGCTGGTGGAGATGAAATGGAAATTTAACTAAAAATGAATTGCTCGACTTTAGTAAGTACTCAGTGGCGGAATCCTGTACACCCCCTTGTGAACCAAAAGAATGAATCAGGGATCCTAGAAATGAGTAATTCTTTAAAATCCACAGGGTATTTGGTCACTTTATGACATTATAGTGTATTATTCTCAAACAACCAGAAAGAGTTGTTAGAAAAGATTCTCGTCTGGATCCTGAGCTGTGGAATAGAGATATGAGGTGGGGCCCAGCCCTCAAAGGCAATCATGGTACCAATTTTCAAGTGTCAGTGACCCAGAACAAGCCCAGAAAGAACTTAGAAGTTGTTTGAACTTCCTGATTTAAAATATACACATTCTGCTAAAGATGCAGAACTGTTTTCTGGGGGTTGAGAGAGAAGTCCAGAAGCAGTGGAGAAGTATTCTGCTCCTGTAGTTGACTCTGTCTCTTACCCAGGGACCCCCCTCAAGCTGATTCAGGCCATGATTTCCTTTCTCTCTCTAGAGCTGGTGGTACAGCCACTCCCAGCCATTTATGACCAAGACAGATAATTTTTCTTTGTTGCTGATTTACTGACAACCACAGCTCTCAACCTCCTAAAATATGACAGCCAGAAAATGAGATCTCTCTTGTCACTGCCTATGACATTTAGTTACTGATTTGGTCCAATAACTCAGGAAGATTTTCAATTTAATGTAGCAGTGTAATAATTGTTTGTTTTTCTTCTTCCAGACTATCTCTAATCACTTTATTTCCAACTTGTACAAGGACTGATAAAGGACATGTGCTTCACCAAGACAATAACAGCTTGTCTCTGGGTGATGTTTCTAGCAGGGAGGATGCATTTTAGAGACAGAAATCTTAAAATCAAGTTCCAAAAAGGGAAAGCCTTTGACATTGACATTTTGTTCTTTCATGACTTCAGTACATTTCTTACACATGAAAAGTGTCCTTTTTGTTTATTAAAGCCTCTCTTAATTAGAAAAAGTGAAACTTATCAAATAAGAAAGACAATAAATAGCCTGCATCTCTTTCATTCTATAATTATAAACAAGAAATTCATACATTTTTGTAAAGCCTTTTTTGTTTCTTACTTTACTAATTAATTATTTTGCATTTGCATTTCACTTCGTTTGTTTAAGTTTTTAACGGATGGAAGCCATTTTCGAAATTGGGATTATAAACAAACGAACTCCTTCTTTGGCTATCAGTGTGGCAAAACATGTCTTATCGTTTTGATTCTTTATCCCCAACTTTTTCATTTAGAATTGTTATCAGCTTCCCATTTCTGTAATAAATATCTGAGAAATCAGCTTACAAAGAGAAAAAATTTCTTTTGGCTCACAGTGTTGGAGGCTTCAGTTCATGGGCAGGTGGCCTGTTGCCATGGGCTGGGGCAGCACATCCTGGCAGGAGAATGTGGAAAAGCGATATCACTCATCTCATGGCCATGAAATGGAAGAGAGGAAGAGAGAGGCTGAGGACACACCCCCAGTGACCAGAAGACCTCCCACGAGACCCTGACCTCCAAATAGGTCCTGGGCTGGGGACTAACCCTGTTACACCCAGACTTTTACGGCCATTCCAGACCCAACCTACTGTATAACTAACTGCAGCTTCAGTCTTAGCTTCTTATGAAGTGGCTAAGAGCCTCCACTGAAACTTTGGCTGATTATTTTTGACTTGCCATGTGAGACACTTTGTTCAGCCCTAAATAGAAGATGATATCTAGAAAGACCCAAAAAGGAATCACTAATAGTCATGATTTTTCCATCCTAGTATTCCTGTTCCATAAACACCTTTGAGTACATTAACTAAATTTTAAGAGGAAAATAAAAGAGCCTTGCTTTTAATTACAGTATTCTAGGTGCCTGCTTCAGTTATTTTAGTACAGTGCCAATACCTAGGTATTAAAGTAAAATAACAAAATTCTTTCTGGATGACAGAGTAACTTTCATTTCAAAAACCAGCTTTCTGTCATTCTGCTTGCTTTCTTGTGGAAGTGTTGTTTTAGTCTCTGGTTGATAATAGAGTATCTCTTATAATGCAGGATGTAAATAAGCAAAACCTCGGATACCACCATAGGGATTCAAAATTCATGATTTTTTAGCCTGGTATCATTATTAGATTTGATCTTTCAGTGAGAAAACTACTTTTTTGAAAGAAAAATAATCTATATCCTTTTAAGAACCACTTGATTGAGATATGGTAGGCACACAGAAACCATGTGGACCACTTTTAAGCAGTGTATTTCCCACACTACACGAAGTAAATAATACTTCTAGGCTATCACAGTATCACAAAATAGAAGTATGAGCTCAAACACAGGTAGGTCACTTCATGTGGACACCTCAGATTTGTTAGCTCCACCCACGCCCACACATATCTATAGCAGTATCTCTCCAAGGCCTTGAAACTTGATCCTGATTTGTATACCTAACCTCCCCCTTACCTACTGAAAAAATCTTTCCCCGGGTGGAACGTGAGTTTGGTTTTCAGGCTCTTTAAGTGATTCACATGCACTATATGGTTTGGGGTTTTGTCTGCTTGTTTTGATCATCTTTGACTGAGTGTCTCAGTATCCAAGGGTTGACCTTGTCCTGGGTTTGCATCATAATAAGAGCAAGATCTGAACTGGTGGCAGCACAGAGGCTGACCTGGGTTTTTGTATTTTCTTGAGAGGGTAGAATGGGATTGAGAATGGGGAGCCCTATAACTGGGCTCATAAGTGTTCAAGCACCCCCTGTGTACCTGGGGGAGGAAAGCCAGTCAGCCGGTCCTGTCACCAGCCACGCCCTTATACATAGGAACCATCCACTAAGACCTTCGTTAAATAACTGCATTTCTGTGTATGGTGTGTGTTCCAGGGGAGCCCTGCCCAGAGAATGGGAGGAGTCCTGGCTCCATATCAACCCACCACAGCTCTCCACGCAGTGACTACGCAACCTACACCAACAGCAACCATGCTGCTTCCAGCAGCAATGCCTCTCCCCCCGAAGGCTTCACCTCCCACAGCCTGCAGACCAGCGATGTGGTCATTCACCGCAAGGAGAATGAGGGCTTCGGCTTCGTCATCATCAGCTCCTTGAACAGGCCTGAGTCTGGATCCACTATAAGTAAGTGACTGCTTCACCTGCAGTCTATAAAGGGTCTTGTCTTTCCTTGTTCTAATGGTAAGGGTGACAGACAAACAGATCAGAGGATGGTTGTCGACGTGCTGAGTAACCGAGCACTCACAGGCTCTGGGCCCAGATAAACCTAAACCCTCCCTAGCACTGAGTAGCCAAACACTGCTGGTCTTTGGCTCAAGAAGAGTGCAAGACCATGACTAATGCTCCTCCAACCCCTCCACCCCGTGAAAGCTTTTCATTCATTTGTAAGTTGGGAAGCAAAACAGTGACATGGTAGTGTTGCGGTGAAAGCAGGTGGCCCTTTCTATGGGCCACTCAGGGAAAGCTCTTTGGCTCGAGAGCCGTTCAATCAAATGAAACCCAAGTTGCAGAGAGTCTGGAAGAAAGCAGTCCAGGCAGAAGGCTTTGTGTGAGAAGGAGCTTTCTTCTTCGTTCAAGAAATATACAGAAACCCAGAGTGGCGGTGGTGTAGCAAATAAAGGAGAAAGGCATGACACCAAAACATGGAATTGGTTGGGAGCCAGGGTGCATGATAAGCGAAGGCCATGGGAACCATTAAAAGCTTTTAAGCAGTGGGCTGAAATATGATATATATTTCTTTTGCAAGAGGAGTCCAGCTGCTTCTAGAAAACCAAACTGGGGTGGTGGTATGGGTTAGGGCAGGAGCAACGGTGGAAGAACAAGGTGTAGTGTGGCCAGCAGGCTTGAGATACTGGGGCTTCCCCTGGGGTCATAGCATGGAGGGGAAGAAGGAAATGAATGCAACTTCCCAGGATCCCCCCAGCCCCAGGTTCTAGGAGTCTATACAGCAGGCAGCAGAGGCTACTCTGGTCAGCCATCTGTGCAACTCTCGGCCTCCTTGCTTGTTTTCCTTTCTGCAGCAGTGTTCCAGAATTTATTCAGCAACCAGCAAGCTGTGGGACAGAAGAAGGAATGGGATACTTTGTCATTTTTTCGTGTCGAAATGACTTAGCCCAAAATACTGTGATAGAAACACCAGAGGAGCATTAAAAGAAAAAAAATAATAATAGGACCCATGTTGTAGTCTAAAAAACTTAAAAATTGTGGCAGTCCCATTATTTATGGGATGAGTATCATGCAGTCACTCAGAAAATCAAGTTTTTGGGAATGAATAAAAGTTTTATATGATAAAGTTAAAATTATCCAAAAACCACCAGAACTGTGGAGAGAACTGCCCTGTTTAGCTTGACCCCTGACAAATTCTAGTGAAAACCAGAGGCACAGAACCTCAGCAAGTATGTGCAGAAGCCAAATTGCATGCATCTGAAAGTACAACTTCATTTCTCTCTTTCTTCCTGATAAGCTAAAGGAATAAATCCAATCTTTAAGCATAGACTAAAAGCAGGATTCTGTCAGTACGATGGATTCACCAAGATTAAAAGGACACAAGACTATAAAGATTTCCATGAATTATATAAACAGCCTTCCAATAATTTACACTTGGGGGAAATGTTCACAGAGAGCTTTTGTAGCTATTCCAGTCATTCAAATTGTTTATTGGGGCAGAATACCTAGAGGACTAGAATAAAAATAAAAAGTATACTACCACAATAAAAACATTAGGCATGAATTTAAGGTCTTGCCTTTATTTAAAGCATGAAAGCTTTCTTTCTAAATGTGTAAGGGAGGGTGTGTGTGTGTGTGTGTGTGTGTGCGCGCGCTTTTTCTGTTGCAAATCTATGCATAAGTAGATTTGGGAAAACAGCAGGTGCTAATGCTTACAATTAATATGTGAATTTTTCTTGCTACCAAGTGACATCACCCTGACCTCAAAAAAATAATTATAACTGCTTTCAAAATAGTGTTATTTTACTAAAAGGGTTTTATCCCTGGAGTGTAGAAATGTATTCTTTACTTCATTATGCCTCATGGTTCCTTTTTTTTCCACGTGTATTTCTTTTCATTTAAAGGCATTGGGAATGCAGGTTGTCCTGTGCTCTGTAGCAAAAGCAGCTATTACACTGACGGCTCATTGCCTTACAGCATATAATTTGCAACATGCACCTAAAAGGTTCCTGGAGCCAGTGCTCCTTCCTCCTTAACTTCTGTAATGATTTTGATCTCTAATTTGGAAGAGAAATGCTCAGAGCTTCATGAATAGTAAAGAGCTCTCCTTGGGCCTCACCTCCATCGTCAAAATATGAAGAGTCCCTGGGCTCTGTGAGGCTGACACAGGGTGATGCTCCTGAGTGCTCAGGCTTCTCGATCCTTCCCAGAGTTTGTGTCCTTTCCATTTCCATGTCTTCCCTGGGCCATGGGTCATTAACATAGTCACTTTTTATTAGGTGATGTTCCCATGCCTTGCTCAAGCCTTTTCCTGGTGGCCCAGGGCCATTGTGCCTCCAGTAGAAGCACTACTCCATGTGGGTGGCATGGTTCACAGCTCAGGTGCTACAATCACACTGCCTGGATTTCAAACCTGGCACTGTCATTTACTGGCCATGTGACCTTGGGGAAATTATATGACCTCCTTGGGCCTCCATTTGCTTGGTTGCAAGGAGAAGATCATTTTCGTCTTTCTGTCGTAAGGTTGCCATGAACGTAAAGGAATCCGTGCACAGAGGGGCTGAGAAGAGCACTGGCTTGAAGTAAGAACTAGCTGTGTCCATACTGCTGTCTAGGCCACTATCCCTGCTGGGAATCTCTTCCACTGCCGCAGCTCACAGTTCTTTGGTGGCACAGAGTTCACACTGCCAGTCAGCCATTAGTCAGAGTCACTTACTCTTCTGGGGCTGCTGAATCTGGGGCTAGATGAGCACATCTCAGGGGGCCTGTGTCCTGGCCCTATGGGAACCTGCTGGGAGAATAGTCTTTTCCACCCCACCCACCTGCAGGCTGGGCCAGCAGCAAGAGCCCAGGGCTGGGCCAGTCCAGCTGTGTGAGCTCTGCTGAAGTCTTAGGCTGCATCTGCAGGTTCATCTCCCAGAAGCCCCAAGCCAAGAAACTAGGAATGTCATGGAAAGCATCACCATTCAGACTTGAAGCCATCCATACCTCTTAGCATCTCCCTGCAAACATTATGTCATTATTGAATATTATCAGAGCAGAGAGGTGAAATGAAGAAGCCTAGTGTGAACTTCCTCTCCCATGACTAGAGACTCCTCCTACAGCTTCTTCAGCCAGGACAACTTTGCCAGAGATATTTGACGTCCAACTAAATGACAAATTGTGGGGTGAGGTTCTGGCTTGTTTCTGGGCAACAGCATTTAAACAGGACTCTTTCTAAAGCCTCACCTGTTCCTTTTCAAGACATTATTTATCCCAAAAATAAAGAAGGAACTTTCTTTGTATTAAATAATGTAATGAAGAAGGAAAGTGCATCCTTTCAAGGCCCTGGAGGCTGGCCATCCCTTGGAAAAGGGCAGAAGTTGAAGCCTTCAGTCTGTAGTGCAGGAATATCCTTCGTGGTTTAAAGTGAAAACAGGACAGCTTCCTGAGCAATTGTGTCCCATTATCCAAAGTCTTAAGTATCTTTTCGGGGCTTACAATTGGACTCAAGGGAAAACAAAGTTGGTTTCCACAACATAGCCTAGGATCCAAATGAACTGTAATAGGTAATTACATTTCAAACTGTTAAGGAGATTTGAACAAAGACTTATATGTAAATGTGTTGGTCATCTTTCCATTGCTATGTCAAAATACCTGACCAAATCAATTTATAAAAAGGAAAGATTTATTTCAGCTCATGGTTGCAGAGGTTTCAGTCCATGGTGGATTTGTGATGAGGCAAAATATCATGGCAGAAGTGCAGAGTAGTAGAAACCTGTCCGTCTAAGGCACCTGGGAATGAAGGAGAGGAAGGGGGAGTGCTGGAGTCCTACTATCCCCTTTAAGGCCATGCCCCCAATCACCTCACTTCCTCCCATGAGGCTCCACCCCTTAAAGGCTCCACCACCTCCCAATAGCAGGACAGCCTTGGAGCTAAGTCTTTGGCATATGTGCCTTTGAAGGGCATTTATGATCTAAACCATAATAACAGGTGTTCATTACCATATTACTTATTGATAAACTTAGAAAAATGGAAATAATTTCCAAAGCTTCTTAAAACCAGTAGCTTTGGTGAGGTTTGAATCACTTCCTGTTGCCATTGTCCCCGAGGTTTATGTGCACAGGCTGCAGGTGCACTCAGGCAGCCTTGTGTCTCTGAGTGGATCAGATGCCCCCGTGACTATGTGCAGTGGGGCTGATAAAATGGTCCTCAGGCCTCCCCAGCTCAAGGCTTGAGTCCCGACATCCAGGTTTTATAATCTGTTCTTCCAGGTGCATCCTACTCCCCCACCAAACCTGCCTCCTACCAGAGGTTTCCAGAAGGGCTTTGATGCCAGTGTTGAAGTAAAAGAGAGCCTCGCTTTCCACCTTTTCTAAAGCTTTCAGGGAGGTTCCATTGGAACTTACGGGGTAGGCATGCCAAATTGGGCATCAGTAATTGAACTGACAATCTGTTGAGGGAATTTGTAAGCTTAGATATAGGCCCATAAGAAGCTGTGGGGTCAGACTTGTTCAGGACAGCAGCCGTCACATCAATCCAAACAGTCAACAGCAGGGAATAATCACTGCAGTCCTTCTCCCTTCATTTGGGTTTACCCGCCGTGTCGACTCAGTGTTCTGTCTTTATCTGCAAGCACATCATGGCCAGAAGGCTGTTGACTTCTCAGCAGTCCTGGAGCTCTGTTCTGTGCTGAACATCTTTCTTTCTATGTGTACTTTCTCTGGCGCAGGTTGGAGTTTGGCCTTGGTCATTATTGACTTTGGCCAAGGCCCGTGCAGTCTTATGTTCAGGGAGAGTGAGTTATCTTAGATGAAATGCCCTGATGAACTTCTCAAAGTGTCTTTGATGATACCCATAAGTGATGGAGTTTAAAAGGTATTCTAGAAACTCAAAAACTTAGCTAGAGGTCTTCAGTGACATTGTTAAGCATGGTTCCTTTAAATGGTGAAATAAAAGGAAATAGTGAAGTAGGGTG